TGTCAAATCATATGTCATCACTGTGGAGAAAATCATGAGGCAACAAGTTACAAATGCCCAATGATTGCTGATTTTCGTTATGAATTGATCCAAAAGTTGAAACAACATGCAGAGAAGCTACCACCTCAAGCTCAGTTTATTCCTGTTCCCTTTCGGCATGAAAATGATAAACAAAGAACGATTTCGAATATTGTCAACCCTCCTCAAAGAAGAGTTCAACAACCGGCTAATCAAGTGTACAATAGATCTGATTTACAAGCGTGGCCAAATTTAAATCCAATGGTTACTACGACATCACTCACCCACCCAAATTTAACAGAATTTGAAGAAAAATATAAAGCTATTCAACTGAAGCTAGATCTGATGGAAAAACGTCACGAAGAAGAACAAATTGTAGCTGAGAAATTAAGGGATATGGAAAAACAAAAGATTCAAGAGAAATATTGTCTTCATAGAAATAAAATCAATCAAATCTGGCTTCAAACAGACGCGTGCCAGGAAGTTCAACAAAAAATGTTAAAGAAATGTTTAACATCTCAGAAAGAAGTTACCATTGCTAATATTAAAGTTATCACAGCAGTGCGTGACGTCGTTGACGAATTAAGAACAAAGCATAATATCCCGACGTTTGACAAAATAGTGGGATCTTTGAACACTCAATTGAACTACGCTGAATCAACTAAACAAAGACTGACACAACAACAAAATGAATTTCATACGGCACTGGCTGAATTCAACGGCGAAAAAAGAAAAGCTTTACAAGAAATTCTCCTTAATAATGACCAGTGAAAGTTATTATTTAAACGAAGAATTACTGAACAATTTTGAAGGATCATGTAAGGCTAAAGATGATCTTTTTAATATTTAACCTTTTTTAATAGTTAACCTTTTTAAAAGGAACAATAAACTGTATGTCAAAAAAAAAAAGAAGAAATTTGCTCGAATTTTTAATCTGACCGAAGATTGCTTACAGGACTGCCTGAAAATTTACTTATCTACCCGTACTTTGTCTGTTCAATCTGTAGCTAATGTGATGAACTGTTCTTTTGGATAAATAAACATATCCAGGTTAAAAAAGTCAAGGCCTAAATATACCTCGAAGATTTAAAAACTGCTGTGATCAGTAATCTTCATTCAGTAGCGATTGAAAACTGTATACTAGTCCACCGAATACCATACAACTTCATCGTCAACAACTATCGTCAACCAAACAGGGAAAAACTCATAAGTTAATATGGTGAAAAATCCTGCAGGATATATCAGATCGACGCAGGAAAATATTCTACAGGGTGTGCGTGGACAAGCACCCTGCGGGATCCTGAAGGAAAATACCCTGCAGCCTCGAGTGGTGGAAAAATCTGCAGGATATACCCGACATCGGCAAGAGTTTTGAAATTCCTGCATGTCAACGCAGGATTTTGAAATTTTTTATAATGAATAACCGCATATTCTGGCACGTAAGTGACATTCCCCCCCCCTGT